ACTGGGGGAACTGAGAGGGACTGGGGGAACTGGGGGAACTGGGAATGGGACTGGGGAGACTGGGAGGGACTGGGGGGACTGGGAATGGGACTGGGGGGACTGGGAGGGACTGGGAATGGGACTGGGAGGGACTGGGAGGGATTGGGAATGGGATAACGGGAACTGGGATGTACTGGGAGGGACTGGGGGGGAATGGGAGTGGGAACTGGGAGCACTGGGAGAGACTGGGAGTGAGATAATGGGAACTGGGATGGACTGGGATAAACTGGGAATTGAACTGGGAATGGAAGTGGGAATAGAACTGGGAATGGGATGGTGGGAACTGGGATGGAACTGGGAATGGGATGGTGGGAACTGGGATCAGTGGGGGGTCTCGGCTATCCCTGACCCCTCCCCGTCCCCTCAGGGTGGGCTGCGGGTGTTGGAGGCTCTGGGAGGGACTGGGAGCACTGGGAATGGAACTGGAATGGAACTGGGAATTGGATAATGGGAACTGGGATGGAACTGGGAATGGGATGGTGGGAACTGGGAGCACTGGGGGTCCCTGGGGGGGGTCCCTGACCCGTCCCCATCCCCTCAGGGTGGGCTGTGGGTTCTGGAGGCGCTGGGAGGGACTGGGAGGGACTGGGAATGGGATGGTGGGAACTGGGATAGACTGGGACTGGAACTGGGAATTGAACTGGAATTGAACTGGGAATTGGATAATGGGAGCTGGGAATTGAACTGGGAAGGGAACTGGGACTGGAATAACGGGAACTGGGATTGAACTGGGAATGGGATGGTGGGAACTGGGATCAGTGGGGGACCCTGACCCCTCCCCGTCCCGTCAGGGTGGGCTGTGGGTTCTGGAGGCGCTGGGAGGGACTGGGAGCACTGGGATCGGTATAATGGGAACTGGGATAGACTGGGACTGGAACTGGGAATTGACCTGGGAATGAAATAACGGGAACTGGGATGGAACTGGGAATGGGATGGTGGGAACTGGGATCAGTGGGGGTCCGTGACCCCTCCCCGTCCCGTCAGGGTGGGCTGCGTGTCCTGGAGGCGCTGGCAGCCTCGGGGCTGCGCTCGGTGCGTTTTGCCCGGGAGGTGCCGGGGCTGGCGGCCGTGGTGGCCGGGGATCGC